TGTGTGTGTGTATCATATTGTATGTTGTCTCTGTATTGTTTTGTATATATGTTATGACTGATAAGTCAACCGACTTAAAGTAATAAAGAACTTGAACTTGAACTTGAAATGTACAACCAGGATCCAAGCACAGGAGGGAACCCAGTGAGACCTGCTGTGGACTATACTGGTTAAATTGGTTACGGTGTTTTCCGGTCTCTAACAAACACCGTTAGACAGTTAGTGGGTAAATCAGAATACCATGTCAAGAATTCGGAGCGTATGTCCATGACTATGGTTTAAAAAGAAGAAGAAATATATTTATATAATGTGTTTTCCTCTGTAAACCAACGCACCCATTGACGATGTACTTATAGTTACTGTGTTCGGAGCCATTGACGATGTACTTATGGTTACTGTGTTCGGAGCCATTTACGATGTACTTATAGTTACTGTATTCGGAGCCATTTACGATGTACTTATAGTTACTGTGTTCGGATCCATTGACGATGTACTTATGGTTACTGTGTTCGGAGCCATTGGCGATGAACTTATAGTTACTGTGTTCGGAGCCATTGACGATGTACTTACAGTAACTGTATTCGGATCCATTGACGATGTACTTATAGTTACTGTATTCGGAGCCATTGACGATGTACTTATAGTTACTGTTTTCGGAGCCATTGGCGATGTACTTATAGTTACTGTGTTCGGAGCCATTGACCATGTACTTATAGTTACTGTGTTCGGAGCCATTGACGATGTACTTATAATTACTGTATTCGGAGCCATTGACGATATACTTATACTTACTGTGTTCGGAGCCATTGACGATGTACTTATAGTTACTGTGTTCGGAGCCATTGACGATGTACTTATAGTTACTGTGTTCGGAGCCATTGACGATGTACTTATAGTTACTGTGTTCGGAGCCATTGACGATGTACTTATAGTTACTGTGTTCGGAGCCATTGACGATGTACTTATAGTTACTGTGTTCGGAGCCATTGACGATGTACTTATAGTTACTGTGTTCGGAGCCATTGACGATGTACTTATAGTTACTGTGTTCGGAGCCATTGACGATGTACTTATAGTTACTGTGTTCGGAGCCATTGACGATGTACTTATAGTTACTGTGTTCGGAGCCATTGACGATGTACTTATAGTTACTGTGTTCGGAGCCATTGACGATGTACTTATAGTTACTGTGTTCGGAGCCATTGACGATGTACTTATAGTTACTGTGTTCGGAGCCATTGACGATGTACTTATAGTTACTGTGTTCGGAGCCATTGACGATGTACTTATAGTTACTGTGTTCGGAGCCATTGACGATGTACTTATAGTTACTGTGTTCGGAGCCATTGACGATGTACTTATAGTTACTGTGTTCGGAGCCATTGACGATGTACTTATAGTTACTGTGTTCGGAGCCATTGACGATGTACTTATAGTTACTGTGTTCGGAGCCATTGACGATGTACTTATAGTTACTGTGTTCGGAGCCATTGACGATGTACTTATAGTTACTGTGTTCGGAGCCATTGACGATGTACTTATAGTTACTGTGTTCGGAGCCATTGACGATGTACTTATAGTTACTGTGTTCGGAGCCATTGACGATGTACTTATAGTTACTGTGTTCGGAGCCATTGACGATGTACTTATAGTTACTGTGTTCGGAGCCATTGACGATGTACTTATAGTTACTGTGTTCGGAGCCATTGACGATGTACTTATAGTTACTGTGTTCGGAGCCATTGACGATGTACTTATAGTTACTGTGTTCGGAGCCATTGACGATGTACTTATAGTTACTGTGTTCGGAGCCATTGACGATGTACTTATAGTTACTGTGTTCGGAGCCATTGACGATGTACTTATAGTTACTGTGTTCGGAGCCATTGACGATGTACTTATAGTTACTGTGTTCGGAGCCATTGACGATGTACTTATAGTTACTGTGTTCGGAGCCATTGACGATGTACTTATAGTTACTGTGTTCGGAGCCATTGACGATGTACTTATAGTTACTGTGTTCGGAGCCATTGACGATGTACTTATAGTTACTGTGTTCGGAGCCATTGACGATGTACTTATAGTTACTGTGTTCGGAGCCATTGACGATGTACTTATAGTTACTGTGTTCGGAGCCATTGACGATGTACTTATAGTTACTGTGTTCGGAGCCATTGACGATGTACTTATAGTTACTGTGTTCGGACCCATTGAGAGGTTTTCCAGATACTGATGTAAGAGCAAACATTTCCAGATCCAGAATATCGTGGGATTTGTGATGACAACAACGAATTTTAGATTTTTAGAGACCACAACTTCGGTACAGGTATGGACAGTCCAGTGGCTCACAATGTGGACAATCTGCTGGTTCCTAGAAGTCTGGAACAGGACGCATTAGCCCGTGCACCATTAACTTCAACTTCATCAGGGTACTCTAAAATGTTCAATATTCTGAATATTGTTTATAGGCCTCAGAAAGATCGGTTAAAAACAAGTATTTTTATTTTATTTTTATTTTGTTTTAGAACTATATGATAAAAACAACATGTACGCTTAGAATTTGTGAGAGAGGAGATTTGCCTTCAGTGTTGAGAGGTCTGCACTGTCGGCGATGAAGGTTGGGAGGCTGTTCCAGGTACGAATTGCTCTAGGAAAAAATGAATTTGCATGATAATTTGTGGAGCTGTGTGGAATCTGGAATTAGTGTTGTCGGGTTTGCTGGAGAATTTGGAGGTTGCCATCTGTATATAGTAATATGGTGGGGGTCATTTTACGGCGTTGTTCAAGGGATTGCCAGTTCAGGGTTTTGAACATTTCTGTAACGCTACTGGTGTAGTTATAGCGCCCAAGTGTGTACCTGACGGCTCTTCACCATTTCAACCTTATGGGTAAGATTTGCCTGCCATGGATCCCAGATGGGGCTACAGTATTCAATGTGTTTTCAAATTATAAGCTACAGTAATTCTTTTGTTTTTACATTGGTGGTTTTAATGTTTCTCCGAATAAATCTTAGGGATGCATTGGCCTTGTAAGTAATGTTATTAAAGTTTCAAGTTTTATTTTACGCTCATGACCCACGAGGTGTGTTACAAGAGGTCAACATTTTAATACATTTCAATTACATAGCAAAGTGAGTACAGATTGTTTATACAACATGTAAATATATAATACTACAGAATAATAGCACTGCATTTATCTTATGTCACTTAAAGCCTAATTGTTTTCTCTAGAAAACGACTTATTTTAGGTAAAACATGTAAATTACAAATAGAAATAATTCCTTTTAGCTTAAAATTGCTGGGGTTTGTAGTGTAATAGTTATGGATATATATTTTTCTTATTGATGATATATAAGTATTTTGGCACTTAAACAAATAATGTGGTTCATCACCTATACCTATTTGACATAAAGGGCATATTCTATCTGATTTTGGAGTTGCATTCCAGCGTCCAGTCTCTATTGGAAAATCTATATTAGACGTGCGGAATTCACAAATAATTTTCCTATCTTTTTCATTATGTTTTGTTAGATATGATTCATACTGAAAGTTTGTATCAAATATGGAGAAGAATTTACCACGAGAAGAGTTTTCTATCTCTTGGAACCATTTCCGTATAAATTGATCTTTTAACCGCTGTTAAACTACAGCTTTGAAATGATTTCTATTCATAGTACATGTATTTTGAAAAATCCACAAACTGCTAAAACCTAACTTGTTTAATATATCTTTTCTGTAATTATTCCATTTAAAATGCATTTGTTCATTTGATTGTGAAACAACATATGCCATTTTGTATATCAGACTGGATATCTTGCTCCCGCCAGTTAATAACTTAAACCAGAACATGATTATTCTTCTCTTGATTTCTATTTCCAGAGGATATCTTCCGGTTTCTCCATAAATCATGTAATTCGGAGTAGAATATTTCACATTCATGATTCTTTTACAAAATTGCAAATGCATTCTTTCTATGATAATACTGTTTTCGGATCCCCATATCTCACAAGCATACAATAGGATCGGTGAAACAAGAGAATCAAATAACTTAAGTTGCAAATCAACAGACAATGGAATATTTCTTATTTTCTTGTACAATGCATATAGTGCCTTTTTTGCTTGTTCGGTTATTTTTGTTTTTGCTTTACTAAATGTACCATCATATTGATGTGGGTGTTCCGTGAATAGTTTTTAGTAATAGTTAAGCCCAGGTATTTAGCCGAACCTACTTGCTATAGAATTTGTCCAAGGAGAATGTACTTAAATTTGTGTGTCAGTCTTTTCTTTCCTTCTTTTTAACAAAGGACCAGAACTGTTTACTTGGTTTGGCCTTGTCGATATTTTCAGAGTCGTTCATTACAGTCGATTCCACATATGCCCAGTTACTTTGCCGTAGTTTTCTTTGAATTTCTGTTTGGAGAAATTTCATTTCCTGATGTAGGTTTGATTGGTGTGCCAAGGAAGTGCTCTTAATTTCCTTATAAAGTTTGTCACGTTTTCTGATAAATATTTTTATATTTTTATTTATCCAGGGCAGGTTATCCTTTGATTTGGTCATTTTTGTTGGAACATGTAATTGGATAATACTATCAAGTTTAGTTTTCATGATTGACCATTTTTCTTCTGTTGTGTGGACGACAGGTATATAGTAGTGAAAGAAATTAGGTCAGTCTTAATGGCATCCCAGTCAGCTTTATTGTATAGCTTTATTTGACGTGGTTTCCGTTGTCGGCCAAAAGTGACAAAGATTTCATGAAAAAAATATGTCGTGATCAGCAGTTCCAAGACTTGGTAGGGTTCTAGTTTCGTGGACAAGAGATGGCTGATTGAGAAAGAAGAGATCCAGTGTATTCTCTTTACGAGTAGGTATTTTTACAACTTCAAGGTTGTGATTTTCTATGATGGTAAGGAAGTCAGAATTAAGTGCAGTATTGCAATTGTTTTTATAGCGTTGTTGTTGCCAGTCATACTTAGGGAGATTAAAGTCACCAAGTAGCCACGTGTGGGCATTTCTAGGGACACGTTGGAGGGACAGGTCCAGTTGTGCAGCGCTATCAGGGTCAATTTCACTTGGTTTATAGTAGGCAGCCAGGTAGATGGGCTTCAATCCGGAGAGATTTATTTTGGCCATATTTCACATTTATTATCTTGCTCTGGTTGTTCTTCTGATATGAGCTCTTTAGTAATTGCAAGGAATACACCACCACCTTTCTTATCAGGACGGTCTTTCCTATATATATTGTAGTTGTCAGTTGGAAATATTTCTGCATTACTAATTTCAGGTTTTAGCCAGGACTCTCTGTTCCCACTATTATATCAGGTTTTAGGTGGTCTACAAATTGATGTAACTCAGGGACCTTATTTTTAATTGACTGACAATTGATGTGTATTATGTTGAGTCGTAGGGACCTTTTCGGGGAGGGGGGAGGGTATTTGTTGTTTTCTGTTGTTTAGTTTTAGAGTTGTTGTGAGGGGCAGATGTTGCTTGGGGATGATCACTAATGTTAGAACAAGTGGATTCATATATGGTTGTGTCTGACAAGGTGTCCAGTGAGTCAAACAAACCCCCCTAGTAGTTTGGGAGGGCACACCGAAAGCACTGCCACGAGTAACGACTTTCTGATAGCCTGCCGTATGTTAGACTACCTATCCCTTGGCATGATATATGGTGCAATTGTGCACAGTGGTCACATATAATGCCTTTGTCGCTCCATGAAACTTCCTTGTGACAAGCTGACAACAAAAAGACAGGAAGTCGATTCGTTTAGGTAATATGCCTAACTCCTAAGTGTAAATAGGCATATTACGTAAACGAATCGACTTCCTGTCTTTTTGTTGTCAACTCGTAGATAATTCAAATGTTAGTGTAAGTTACATACGCTGTTCTGGTCATTTGTCACAAATGTTAGTGTAAGTTACATACGCTGTTCTGGTCATTTGTCACAAATGTTACACAAATGTTGAAGCATCTAGAAACTGATAGTTTGTGGATCTGTGTTTAATCATTCAAGTTTAGGCAATGGACGACTTTTATACATAGTTTTAAAATAACCATGTTTATTTGATATAATCCAATGGGAGCTGAATTCAAATGCAAAGTATATATCCATATCAGATCCTATAATATGCACGTGCATTTACCCATCCTGAACAGTTAGTATATATGATTTGCAGAGATTTACCCAACATGAAAGTTTAAGAGAAATGTATACCCGTATTCTACCTATAACTACCAGTTTATTAACAACAGAAGTTGTAATATGATAATTCTAAATCACTTACCGGTGTCACATGAAAAGGTGACCGTAGCAAAAAAAACTACCCGGAATTCACATTCTACATATTTTTCCTATCCCTGGGTGTTTTTCATATAACATCGGCAAATTAATACTAATGTCATCCCATATTAAAGATAAAACATATATATGTAAATATTGAGGTTCCACAGTCTTGCTATATTTATAATCTCTTTTCGTAAATATAGTTATATACTAGTACTGTTTTGCCATGGAAACACATTTACTATTTGAGAACGCTTATGACTTATACTAACTACTCCTGATAGCCTAAATAAAAGCGAACATGGACTTGATTTTAAGTGAACCGGACTACCTAGAAAATACACTATTTTTATTTCAATTACGCTTAAAATTCATCGATAACTAATGCATACAAGTGATGAAGCCTTTCCCCAAAAGTTGGTATGTATGGAATAAACACATACACGAAAAGAAAACTGAAATATTATATTAATATGGTAACGAATCTCAAATTTTTGAATGTATTGAAGCGTTACACTGAGTATTGCCTAGTGTTCTGGCTCAGTGTTGTGGTGTTACACAAAGAACCTTCGAAAAGGAGTTTCACTCCAAGCAAAGGCGTTTTGACTGAATGTTGAGGTGTTACAAAAAGAACCGCAAAGTTTAAGGAGTTTTGGCTCCAAACCAAGTCTTTTTGACTGAGTGTTGTAGTGTTACAAAGAGAACCTTCATGCATAAGGAGTTTTCACTCTAAACCAAGTCGTTTAGACTCAGTGTTGTGTTGTTACACAAAGAACCGGTCAGCAAAATGAGTTTTAGCTCCAGACCATCCCATTGGGAATCATCGTGTTGATCGATATATGTTTCGTTTTGATAGGTTTGTGTTACGTTTTTATGGATTTTTGGTACGTGTTGATGGGTTTGTGTTAGGTGTAAATGGGTTTGTGTTTGGTGTTGATG